TCCCTGGAGCCGGTGTAACTACTCATTGTGGCCCACTGGAGGGCCGGACCTTATATACAACTGTCAAAACTAAAAATGAGTGACCGAAGAGAGAAAAGCAGCAGATTATAGTTAGAAAGGCGACAAACCTTCCAACATTTTTCTGTTTGATTTTTAAAAAAGTAGCTTTCATGGACAGTTGTGATGTGCAACTATCTATTGCTTCCCTTCTTTTAGTGATTTACAGTGTAAACCCAGGGCAGGATTTGGATTTCAAAGGTTGGACTAATGGTATTAATTGCCCTGATTTCTGCTCTACACCAGCAGTATGAATATCATATGTATTTATTGTACATATTTATTGTAAGACTAGATCCAACAGTCTTTTAATTACAGTTGTCAAAGGCAGAATTTTCACCCTTTTATGAAAGACTTTTGTTCATTTAATTTTGTGTTAATAAAACTGCTAGGCTACTTTAATATATACAGTATATGGGACTAAATCATAGCGCAAGACATTGAGATGTTCCGGACCTTTGCGTGAGGAAATTCTCTCTAACTGGACCTCGTTCAACATTAAATGCATAGATTGATTTTGTTTTTATGTCTCTGCTGTGCAGAAGAATCTGTCAAGCTGAAAGGTTGTGTAGAGGTTGTGTAGTTTTTCCAGAGGTTTCGTGTGTTTTATATGGATGGAAGAGGTATGACCAAGTAGACATTAAATTTTTTTTATTTATTTAATTTAGCTTTCATTAAATTGATCCCAGGAGCAAACACGTTTGAAAACGCGCGACCTTTACTTTGAAGGCGAACTGTCTGTTTCCGGTATAGCAAGACCTTCATAATAAGACTTTTACAGTACACAGCAGTGTAGTTATGCATCGAGACTACCAGAGGGCAGTGTATATTCACGACTACTACTACGACTACTAGAACAAACTAGAACACGATAAACAAGACAAACTAAAACAAGATAAACAACACAAACTAAAATAAGATAAACAAGACAAACTAAAACAAGACTCTATAAAGCACTAAAGCAGACACGTTCATGTCTCTAATGAAAATATAGTATTTGTGACTTTGACACCTGAGCCAACTTAAAGCCACCTCTCATACAAACACGCATACAAAAGTGCCCTAAAACTGCACACACATGCCTCGTATTTACCCCCTCTTCATTCTTGTGCTGAAGCACGAAGTACAGATGATATATAAAATGCTTCTAATCAAGTTCAGAGTTGTTGGCCAAGTCATATTTACGACTTTGGAACAGTCGCTCAATTGGGAAAGGGGGATTTACGAGGGAACCTGAAGGCGTCATTGGTCCACCCCTGCTGGGCTAAAGCTAAACCTACAGCAGCAGCAGCGTTCACAGGCTCGGTACTTGTTACAATCTGAGCCAACCTGTCAGGAGCAGAGCAGCAACACATACTGGACTTTCTCAGTTTGCAAGCGAAACGTTTTTGTTTTAATTTGTTTTGACAACTCACAGCAGAACCGTTAGCAGGCTAAGCTAGCAGGACGAGCTAACGACAGTTGGCTAAAACTCCTGCTCCCTGGTAAGAATGACCCGGCCTGCCATGTTTACTCCCTACTGTTCACATTTAGAGGAAAATAGTAAAGCTAGCTAACTAGCTCTCTCATCTGAGCTACTCAACCACGCCAGAAACCGCCACGCGTGTAATTTAGGGATTAACTAGTCACTGGTTTATAGCTGCCGGGTTTGTAGAAGCGACGGGCTAGGCTGCTAGCTACGTGAGAGTTGTCACTGCTTGAAGATGTGTGGAAAATGTGCCTCACTAGCAGCTAACATTAGCTCTATTTGTTGTCCTGACTGTCCAAGCTAAGGTATAATTAGCCAGTGCTAATAGAAACCAACATTATAACGTTGTTACTATTTCAAGAAGTAAGGACACAGCATGTTTACACTTAAAACCGAGATGTCACAACTTTGGTAAATTCATGAAAATGAGAGGATGTCTGTCTCTGTCTTCCAGCTGAGGACCACCCACTGCAGGCTGCTGGACGTGACAGATCCAGCTATGTAAACTGCTCTGATGTGTGGACTTCTATATCCATTCTGGGGCCTGGTTGAGACGGCTTTCAAGCTGGTCTGGAGGACCACACTATTACTGTGACGTAAACATCCAACAGACCTGCAGCTGAACAGGTGTATGTTGGTCTGATCATAGCGTAAACCCCCCCCACCACCTTAGCAGCCTCCTCCCTCTGCTCCCCCTGTAGCAGTACTATGCCTCTGGGTTTGGGAAGAAGGAAGAAGGCGTCCCCGCTGGTCGAGAACGAGGAAGCGGAGCCCATCCGCGCAGGTCTCAATGTGCCGGGTATGGATGGCCTAGATGGAGGTGTTGTTGGGCTGGGAGAAGGTGCCGCCTCTGAAGGTCTGCCTCCTCCACCCAGCAGCATGCGACCTCGCCTCATCTTCCACACTCAGCTCGCCCACGGCAGCCCAACGGGCCGTATAGAGGGTTTCAGCAACGTGCGGGAGCTCTATGCCAAGATTGGCGAGGCCTTCGGGATACCGCCGGCCGAGGTGAGTCACCGCTGATTGCGAGGATAAATAGGTTTGCTTGAGTTTACCAGGGGGAGAAGGCATTGTTGTAAATCCAACCTGTTTGTTGTGTCCCTCCACAGGTTATGTTTTGCACACTGAACACTCACAAGGTGGACATGGATAAACTGTTGGGAGGACAGATTGGGCTAGAGGACTTTATTTTTGCCCACATCAAAGGCCAGCGAAAGGAAATAGAGGTGTATAAAGGAGAGGATGCACTAGGATTGACGATCACTGATAATGGAGCTGGCTACGCTTTCATCAAGGTGAGAAATAGTAACATGGAGGGACAGAGTGATGAGCTGGAGAGCGGATTATTTATCGGAGTTTTGCTGTTTTCAGCGAATCCGCGAGGGGAGCGTGATTCACCAGATCCAGGTCATCAATGTGGGTGATATGATCGAGTCGATCAACGGCCAACGCCTGATTGGGTGTCGACACTACGAGGTGGCCAAGATGCTGAAGGAGCTGCCCAAAGGGAAGGAGTTCGTCATCAAGCTGGTGGAGCCCCTCAAGGCCTTTGGTGGGTTTGGGAGAAGTTGTCTGATATTTCATCTCGGATGTTGTATGACAGCCACACATGCTCCTCAACAAAGTGTTTAGGGATCTCTGTTTTATCATTCTGCGTAGATATGATCAGCCAGCGGTCTGGAGGGTCCAGGTCGGCCTCAGGGGTTCAGCTGGGGACCGGTAGAGGAACTCTGCGGCTGCGCTCTAAAGGTCCTGCTACAGTGGAGGAGCTGGTAAGTGTTTTTATAGCACCTGTGGACTGATAATGGCTCTCTGTATTGTTTAGAAAGCATAATCCGGTTGTGTTGCCTGAGTCTTCTCATTGAATCTTTTTCACTCCAGCCCTCTGCGTTTGAGGAAAGGGCAATTGAGAAGGTGGATGACCTGCTTGAGAGCTACATGGGCATCAGAGACAGCGAGCTGGGTAAGTGTATGAATGTTGGCTCTATAAGCGTCAAAATTAGAACTTGTGTCGCTGGCTGTTTTCATGTTCACTACATCTTCTCTGCCCTTTCTCCGTCTCCTCAGCGGCTACCATGGTGGAGCTGGGAAAGGACAAGAAGAACCCGGATGAGTTTGCAGAGGCTTTGGATCAAACCCTCGGGGACTTTGCCTTCCCAGACGAATTTGTTTTTGACGTCTGGGGAGCCATCGGCGATGCGAAGGTCGGGCGAGTGTAACCTCTGACGCTGTCGGAGCAGAACAACCCGTGTGTGGCACCCACAACATTCAGCACTACTAGAAAACACAACACTACCGTCATGAGTTTGTTTTTATTCCAGTGTATACTCCTACTATTTTTTTTTTTTTTTTAATTTAGAGTCTTATCTTTTTGGGAGCCTCTGCCTACACAAAGAGGACAACGGCAGTTAATGGGAGAAGAAGATGACTCTGATGATTTCCCAAGTGCTTTTATTTGTCTTCCGGCTTTTTCCAGAAACTACTAGGAACACGCTGATGAGCTTTCCCTTTGACCGCCTCACGTGATCCTGCATGTCATTGTTGTAGTTGTTGGCAGTGGAACAAGCGGAGCACAAGTCTCTAATATGGGAGCAATGAGAGACAACAAAAAGTAGATCTTTGATACTCGGCAAAAAAAAAAAAAAAGAAATGTGATTTTTCCACATTGCACTGTGTTGCGTAAACAGAGATCGCGCTGTACGTCACCTGGTGAGTGGCCCAGTTACTGCACAAAACAAGGCATCGGCCTCCCTGAGTCCCAGTGACGTCCTGAACCACTCGCTGTTACTGTTATGGATCAGTTTTACAAGCATGTGCTGTTATACTTTTGTCTTCATAAGGAATTATGCTGGTTTTATGTCCTTTTTTTTGTTTGTTTTTTTGGGGTAAAATAAAAATAGTATTTGCAAAACTCATAGTAACATGTAGCTTGCTGACTAAACGATCGGTGGTGTTTATTCACCTTTAAAACACTCCGCGCTGTAGTGAAGTTAACGTTCATACATTTGACAGTGTTAGAGGAGATCAGTTGTAATTTACCTTTTTTTGAAGGTGAGGATGAGGAGCAGAGTGGTTCTCGGTTTATGGGTTGTGTTGACTTGTTTTTTTTTTTTTTATAGCTAATGTTTTTATATAAAGTGATGTGAAGTCTATTTTAAAACAGGGTTTGTGTAATGGATGAAGAATTTGATCTTCTGTTGCAACTACTTTATTTTGAAGCATTACAGAAGGCAGTATTAAAGAAGAGTAACGAGATGGAGTAGGTGTGTAAAAAGGAATCCGTTGAGAACGAAATGCCTTCATTTCCTGCATTTTCTACGTTTTTGTTTGAAGTATGAATTCTGGCGCCTGGTGCTGCAAAAGTATCCTGTCATTGCAGCAGAATGATACCAACCTACTTCCATCACGTGTTGACTTGTGTTGTTCAAAGAGAGAAAAACAACAGGCAATGCTGCACCCACTACTCAGCGTAGGTAAACACATGTCTTAATTAAGCGTTTTGGTGTTAACCTTTTTCAGTATATCCAAATGTATGAAGCTATTTTGTAGTCTTGTTTCATTCGTCAGAGGTGATGAATATCTAAATGTAATGAAACTGATGCTAGAACACTGTAACACTGAGAAGAACACGTTATTTTGATGGCTTTGTATTACACTGTTGTCAATGTCCAATTATAATGCAATAATAACATCGACATGGCAGTTTCGCCTTCTGTTTGGTCATTCCTAAACTCTGGTATGTTGTGTAAAACATGTTCGTATAGATCAGATTATCGAACACTGTTAGCTGCTTTTTGTGCTGTTTTTTTCCCAACATTCACACAAAGCCCCCCCCCCC